TGCTTCGGCTAATTCAACCAACACAGTTAGAGGTTTACATCATATGATTCATCCTCACATCCAAAAGACAACTACATCTGATAGTAGTGTTCTACATCATATCAATTTGATAGGACAACATGGTCCAGACCATTAGAACCTTCCCAAAAGACAACCGCATCAAATGGATGCCGCAACAGAACCTTTCTTCTCCTTCCCCTTCCCTCTTGCTCTTGGTGGTCTTGTTGACACATCATTTGCATTGCCACTGCAACAACAATTCTATAAGTCAGTACCTAAATCTGAATACAAGATGCAAATAGATTGCAAATGAGGATGGAATTAACTAGTAAGAAATACTAATTACATGGATGATCCAGTAGTATTTTTTTTGTTTGACCTAGGTGTTGCACCAGGAGTATTGCTTCCTTGATCTGAGGATGGTGTTGATGAAGATGACCTTTTCCTGTATAAAATCTGGAGTGAGCAGCCAATTTACAAATGAAAGGAAAAAAAAAAAGATGACAAGTACCTTTTGCTAGCTATAGGTCCTCCCTGACATGTCTTTGCAAAGTGGCCTTTGTCACCACATTCAGGGCATGTCCTCTTCTTTCTACAGCCAGACTCATCTGAAGCTTTAATCCTGTGTGTCCTAGGCCTTCCAGGCTTTCTCCTCAACTTTGGCCTCATCAATTTGAAACCAGGATCTACAAATGTCCACATATTCTTTGATGTCATTGGGTTCCATATCCCAGCATATGTTTGCCTCAATCTTTGCACTGAATAGCACTCATCCACATAGCCATTCATGTCAGGAAACCTTAGAGAGCCTATGAATGCCAATGCATGGTTACAAGGTTTCCCACTTACTTGCCAGGCTCTACAAGAGCATGTATGAGCCTTTAGGTTCACTGCATGCCTCCATACCACTCCCTTGTTGGACACCACAGAAACTTCAGCTAAATCATCGCAATTACTCCTTACCACATTGTAATCTTTTAGATTCTTGCTCTGTTCATTCAGTGTCTTAATAATAGATGGAATTATTCTTCCTTCCATTTTGCTTGCAAGTTGGCTCCTCAAGTGAAATTTGTCAATTATCATTTGCCTAAGTGTGTCAAATAAGTCCACTATGTGTAATTCCTTGATCTTCATCACCCAATTGTTGAATGACTCAGAAAGATTGTTGTTGATGTAGTCCACCTTTGAAAGCTCTGAGAATTTGCTCCTACTCCAAAAAAATGGGTGATTGGTTTTTAAATATGCAATAGCTTCAGGAGATTTCTCAGCAATCTTGTTCATGTGATAGTTGTACTGCTGGCTGGTGTAGCACTTAGCAGCAGGCCACATGTTTTCACCAAAAAGTGGTCCATGGTACTGCTTCTTGAAGTTCTTCCACAGGTGTCGCATGCACTCTCGGTGCTCAGCAGTTGGATAGACATCACTAACAGCTCTCTCTAGTCCTTTCCCAGCATCTGTGCTGATGGCTAGCCCAGGAGGATTACCAATAGCATTCTTCAAGTTCTGCACGAACCATGTCCAACTCTCCGTTGTCTCAGCTTCTATCACACCAAATGCAACAGGAAAAAGCCAGTTGTTTCCATCTATTGCAACAGCAGCTGCCAGCTGTCCTCTATGCTTCCCTGTCAAGTGTGTTGAGTCCATTGCAATATATGGCCTACAACCTTGTAGGAAGCCATCAATGCAAGGTTTCAGAGCTATGAACAGCCGCCTGAAGCATACTTGGTCTTCATGAATCTCGGTATCAATATCGACAATACTTCCAGGTTGTGCCTTCAAAAGCTCCTCTCTAAAAGTGGGCAGCAATGCAAAGCTGTCTTCCCACTTCCCAAATATCTTCTCAAGGGCCTTCTCTTTGCCTCTAAAAACTTTGTCATATCCTATTGTAAATTTGTACTTCTTCTCTAGCTTGACCTTCAATGCACTAGCTCCTAGAGTTGGAGTCTCCTTCAGCCAATCTATAACTCTTTCAGCAACCCAGCTATTTGTTGCCATGGCAGCCCCAGTCTTATTTATGGAACAACAATTGTGGGCAGGCCTATTTACCTTGACCTGCACATATAACAATGTAATTATCAGCTTTTTATGCATCAAATTTAACCATGAAATGATAAAATAATTAACTGAACATTTCAGCACAAATTTACCTTGCAGCCATAGTATTTCTTACTTGTAGAGGCATGAAACCTCCATTTACAACCCTGCTCTTTTTTCTTGCAAAAAGCTCTGAATCTATGCTTGCCCTTTTTCTCAGTTTCAAAAGAATAGTCATGGATTATAGCATGGTGTGTAACAGCTTCCTTGCAAGTAGTAGTATCTGCGAACACCTCTCCTTCATCAATACATGGGTTATCAAAATCATATGCAAACACATGCTCAAGGTCAGAGTCATTGTCATCGTCATCATGTATTTGGTCATCAAGATCATCACAATCATATTCAGAGTCAGAGGAGGCTGCTGCATCACTATCATAGCTGCTATCACTATCAACCTCTAGTGGGTCACAATTTGGGCATAGCTGGGGCTCCTCCTCTTCGTTCTCTTCCTTCTCATCATCCCGAACCTCTTCATCATCGTCATCGGCTTGGCTCCTCCTCTTTGCACACTTTTTTACAACCTTCTTTGCACTCTTTTTAATAGGGGATGTGGCTTCATCATCAGGATGTGAAGTGCTCTCCGGATGGGTGGTGCTCTCATTTTGGGTGGATGGTACTGGTTGGATGGAGTTCTCAAGATGGTTGTAACTCTCAGGCAGTGTTAGTGGCGTAGCATCAACCAATAGGTCAGTAAATAGTGGTGGAGTACATGGAATAGAATACCTCACAGATGGGTGGCACCTTCTTTTAGTTGGTGAAGGTTCAACTTGCAATGGACCACCAAAATCATTGACAATGGCATGAATATTGACAACCCCGTGCTGATTACCCTTATCCAACCAATCTAGCAATTGTGAATCTGTGGTTATCTCTACTTTACTCTGAGTTGACACATCACCCAATTTCCAAAAGCTGATGTATTGATTTGGCCCCCAGTTAAAATTTTCCCCTACATCGTCAACTAGCGCAAGCATCGAATACCTATCCCTTTCGATCGAAATTTTGACATTGTTTCCCTTAACATATGTCCTTTGACTCAAAAGCGATGTGGTAAAATAAGACTCAACCTTAATAATGGCTGTCAAGAAGCCTTGGTCATTCCTACAGGATAAGTAAAACAATGGAGAAATATTCTAGCAGCTCAACGAGGAATAGATGAAAAACCTACATCTAAATATACAGGGACTGAATAACTAATGCATGGAAGACCTATCTAACAGAAATATCATACCAATGTAAAAACATATCCAGCTTAAACTACTTTTAACAAAGTTGTAAACATATGGCTACTTTCTTATATTACTTCATGCTACCATTGTTTGATGATTAATTTATTAAACTCACTATCTATTAATTCAAATAAGCACCTAAGGTGGAGAGGCCGTTGTTTAATTACAATGCACAGCATATTCACACAAAGAGATATTGCTAATGCTTGATTATATCCTGAAGATACGCAAGCAAGATATGGTTAGCTATGCACATGCTAAGGTTGCATAGCAAACCAGCAAATTCGGACTCTTGAACCAGTTGAACAAGGATTAAAAACATTCAAAAAGAATTCCTCAAAACACACACATATATTGTTGGTAACATCCCTACATGATAGATAGAACAAGTAGGTCACAAGCATAAGTATAGATTATATACCTTTCCATGGTGGTCCTGCTGCTACTGCCCACAGTAGCCACCATGCTGCTTGAAGCAGCTGATGCTGCAGCCTGCCGTCGATGCCGACACTCGCTGCAGCCGCGTGCCGCGGCCGCGCGCTGCAACCTGACGCCGCCCGACGGAGCCGCCGCAAGCGAGGTAGCCGCGCCGCAGCCTGACGCCGCCCGCTGCAGGTGCCGCCCCAAGCCGCCGCAAGCACCGCAGCCTGATGCCGCCCGCTGCAGCCGTCGCCCCAAGCTGCTGCTTGACTTGCTCTACTCGCCGAAATCCATCTGCACCTCTTCCATTGGCATCTAATACTTCAAAGCGACCGATTTTTGGTTGATTTGCTCCTAGTTTGAGAGAAGGGATGAGAGGATCTGGGGTTTAGGGTTCGTCGTGCGGGAGGAGAGGAGGAGTTCTGATGCGGTAGAGTTGGGGAAGAACACGGATAAGGTTGAATCTGGCAAGGGCAATATGGTCTTATCGCGTTGCCTTGTTTTTTAATTTAATTACATCAATTAATTTTGTCATCTTACTCATACGGAATGGAACGGTGATGGCATACGGAATCCACGCACACTGCTTTTGGTGGTATATTTGCAATTCGTGATTTTATAATGGTTATTTCGAGTTAAGGAGTGAAAGTAGTGGCAAATATGCAATTCTCCCTTGTCTTTTGGATGTGAGGATGAATCATATGATGTGAACCTCAACTATTGTCATTTAGTTTGATTATGTTACTGTGTTCATGCCAGAATGACGCTAGTTGACTATGTTCTCTTGCTTGTTGTCTCAAATGGTGTTTTATTGATGCCAAAATGCTGTCAATATTACAATTTCATGGGCAGGGGCATTCTTGTCCTAATTTTCATGAAAACCAGCCATATAACGGTGTTAGTCTAAGCTGTGAGTCCAGTGGCAGTTATGTTGGGTTCAAACTGTTTTTAATGGCAAATTTGCAATTACAGTTTTTTTAGTGGTAGATCCACAATACCTGTTCAATCCAGTGGCAAATATGCAATTGACCCTAGTTAATAAGGGTGTATTTAGTTCACGCTAAAATTGAAAGTTTGGTTGAAATTGGAACGATGCGACGGAAAAGTTTGAAGTTTACGTGCGTAGAAAAGTTTTGATGTGATGTAAAAGTTAGAAGTTTTTTTAAAAAAAGTTTGGAACTAAACTCGGCCTAATTTAGCCTTCAGAGACCGGTAATTTTTCTTCAGGTTCACCGGCGAGAGCAGAGCAGCGGAGACAGAGCTCATCACAAAGATCAGCAGAGCAACCAACCCACCTGGAGTCTGGAGACGAGACCCCCCAACCGCCCAAGCCCTAACACACCACGCCGCCCGCGCGGAAGCGCGAGATCTGAATTTCCGAAGTCCGGAACGCCGCGGCCGCCGCCGATGGAGATCCCCACCGACGCCATCCACCGCCTCCGCTCCTCCCTACGCGAGCCCTTCTCCGCCCCCGCCTCCGCCTCCGCGACGCCGCCCTTCCCCTCCGTCGCGGACGCCGTGGCCGCCTTCGACTCCCGCGTGGGAGTGGGCGCCGCGGGGGCCACCCCCCGGTGCGGCCGCTGCGGGGCCGCGGGGGGGCTCCTCCGCGGCGAGGGGTCCGCCGTGTGCGCCTACTGCGGGTGCCCCAGGCGGGAGGGGTGCGGCGGTGTCGCCGCCTTCCGCGGCAGTGTGGCGTACCGGTGGCTGCTCGGCTCGCTCGGGCTGGATGGATCCGTGAGCTTTTTCTTCTCCTCCTCCTTTCCTCATTTGAACTGGTTGATCTGCTCTTGTTGAATACTTGAATTATTGGTGAATCGAGTGGGATGTGTTTTTTTTTCATTCCATTGAACTAGGTAATTTATTAGAAACCTAATCTCAAGCAAATGCTGAATGCAAATCGAAGACTAGGCTTTTGTTCTAAATGAAGAAAATTTAAGGTAGAAACTTTAGCAAAATTTTGTGCTGAACAGTAGTTGGGCAATACCTAGAGTTCTTTCCAAAAGGCTATTAAAATGAGAAATTCATTAATTTGCAAATGTTCTGTATCACTAGTACAGAAACATGGTTTGGAATCCCGGAAATTTGGATTGTTCAATAGCATGTCCTAAAAAAAATTCTTGGCTACAACGAGCGTCGAGCGAGCTAAATAACAATAGAAGGACCCCATTATGCTATCTGCTGCAGCACATTTACTATCAAGTGTAGTCCATGGGAACTTTTCTTAGTTTTCAATGCCATATAATTGATTTTTTTCCCACTCAAGCTTATGATTAATGAAATCTTTGGATGCAACCTGATTACCTGAATATTGGGAATTTTAAGAGATTGGTACTGTACAGAACACATTGGAAAGGTAATATGCATTATTGGATAATGAAACATCTATTACTACAACATTGCTTTTATAGTGAACTTAAGAGGAAGAACAAAGATTTGATATCAGTATTTGATGTTATCTCCGATTTGTTGGATGCGACACTTGAATGGCGAGAGGGCATGCTGTAGGTATCTATAATTATGAAACACTTAATTTAATTTGTATACTATATCATAGTTTTCATGCTTATTCACTCTATGCATGATTTGGACCTACTTACATAAAGAACATATATAATGCATAGCATGCAAATGAATCTCCCAAAACAAATATATAGACCATCAGAAGAAGTGGAAATTAAGGCGTCTCTATCTTTATCTTTGCTTCAACTCTGTGTTTATGATTTTCATTATAATTACAAGCTTAAAGATTTCTTTAAATGCAAAAAATATCCATGTTCAAGTTTCTTGTTTTGCCCCTTTTCCCATCCAGGAGCCTGTAGAATTTGACAACGAGTCTACTGATTCAAGTAAAACCAAAGAAGCACTGAAGAATGGGATGGTCTTATCTGATCTGCTGGACCTTAAACTTTCCTTCCCCCCTGAGAATAAGGAAACATCTGGAAGTACCGAAAACAATGAACAGTCATCTGCTGAACATATGCTAAAATTATCTGGTGTTAACCTAGACTCATTTTTCGCTGCAAGAATGGAGAACACAACCACTGCTGCAGTTCCTACTCAAAAACATACTGTGGTGCAGGAAAAACAAAGCACAGATAGTCATGGTTCTTCCAGTTTGGAGATGCGTGCTACATACTTAACTGGAACGAAAACAAGTTCTCAAAACACAAATCAAATAGAAGTTACTCCAGCATTTGCAAATTGGGATGCTGACTTTCAGTCTGCTAGCTCAGAAAGTGTCACCGAGGACTCCAAGAAATCTGACCTATTTAACAGCGCCTCGAATGTCAAGGCTTCTAGTTTTCCAGCACATGTAACTGCCATCAGCCCAGTTGTACCTAGTGGAAATGAAACATATATGAGAAGTACCAAGCTAGAAGATTCAAAAGATTTGGCTTCAGCAAGTGGCATGCTAGTTAAAGATGAAAGTAACAGTGGAATCTTTCCTGAGAACAATATTGCTGAGTTCACCGAGTCCTCCCTTAGCAAGAGTTCAGCGCATAGTGATCAATTGCCTGCAAGGGGTGATACTGGAGTCGGTATAGATGAAGCTTTTGATGACTGGCAAGAGTTTACTGGTGGAAATCAGGGAAGCCTGTCGAATGCAGGAGAACATATGGAGGGGCCTATAGAGAGCAACCCCTCCGAAATAAAAACCGTAGATACCTGGCCTGTTAGTAGCATGGAATCATCCAATAATGTTACTGACAACTCTGTTGATGATTGGCAAGCTTTTACTTCCAGCTCTGGTCAAGGAGGAAATTCGGTGAAGCCAATAGAAGGGTCAGCTGCTAGTCAAGGAGGAGATGTGGTGAAACCAGTTGGACAAACAGCAAGCATCTCATTTGAACATTTTTCAGAAGCTAATTCTGTTGAGTTATGGCCTGTGGGCAATATTAATGAGCTTCATAATACCAAAGTAGTAAACGAAACTAATGATTCTTTTGATGATTGGCAAGATTTTACAACCTCTGGTCAAGGTCAAGGTGCACCATCTAATCAAGTTGGAGGCATGATTGAAGTCTCACGTATCACTCAGAAAGAAACAAGTGATGACTCATGGTTCACAACAGATGTTAAGGAAGAAATAAATAAAGATTTAGTGAATACAACTAATGCCATGTTGGACGATTTTCAAAGTTTTTCTGGTTCAGATCTAGCACCACAAAGTTCATCGTTTGTAAGTGGAGAAATGATGAATCCTTCATTTGGGCAACATGAAGGAACTGATACTGTGCAATCATGGTTGGGTGGCAGCAATAATATGGGTACAAACATGGCCACAACAAATAGTGAAGACAATTCATTTGATATTTGGAAAGATTTTACAACGTCGGGTCATCAAAAAGAAAACATTTCTATTTTTGAGAGAAAAAAAACTAGCACATCATCAGAGCCAGCTAAAGAAACTGATCCAATGGATTTGTGGTTAACCAGCAATGCCCAGGAATCTAATAGCAGCAAAGATGCTAATAGAATTAATGACTCATCTGGTGGATGGCAGGATTTTGCTAATTTTGGTCAAAAAGAAAGTATGAAAATTCCTGGGGTAGGGCACTCTGCGAAAGATTCTTCAAGCAATTCAGCTGAACTTAAGAACCATGAACAGATAAATGAAGATAGTGACCCATTTGATGACTGGCAGGATTTCAAGAACTCACATCCACTGGATACAAGCTTACAAGTTCCATCAAATTCTTCATTTGATAACTCTTTAGTACGGATGCCTGATGCACTAGAAGGACTGGAATTTGGGAGCTTTGCACAGTCTGTTCCATCCCAAAGCCAAAGAGATAATAAGGAGAATTCTAACGAAACAAATACGGTTTCATCCAATCATAACTTAGAAAGGTTGGTGGTTTTTATACAGTGTTAGACTTTTCACATTAAAATGCATTTTAATTCATATCTGTGTGCCTATTCCCCATTTGATGCTTGTGCATTTGATATCTAGCACTAGTTACCTGGCAACATTTATTGGTTGGAAGATGATTATACTAATCTATGTGGTGAAAGAAAGATAATTATTGGACTAACCTGAGATTTATGTTGTTTTTCAATTGTAAACAATTGAAACTCATGGCACCAGCAAGCTCTAGCAGTTTGTCTAATCATGACATTTCAATGTTCATCCCTGATCACCTAACGTGCCTTTTAGTACTCTTTGTTACTCTTACCTCTATTGGTCATTTTGTTGTTATACTCATCAGATTTGCTGAAATACCTGAGTGTTTGTAAGATATTTGCAGTTCATGTTGCACAGCAATTCCATTGTTAATACATTCTTCATCACGTTAGTAATATAACATGTTTCCATCATGTGCAGGATGGTTGGAAGGCAGCAGACAGGCGATTTGGGTTCACTGTCTACCATTTGGCCAACTACAAGTCATGACACCCAATCTGTTTCAAAACCGGAATCTGCTGATGCAAATGTAGAGAGACTGCTGTCGCAGATGCACGACTTATCCTTTATGCTCAAAGATGATCTGTCGATCCCTGATAAACCTGTAGGTCATTATAAGCCTTGAAACCATGTGTGCTTTGCTACGTTCTCCCAAGATTCGCTTATGTTGGAGTTCCAGCCTTTTGATTGTGGGACCTAACATGGGAAAATGGGAAATAGCTCGCTGATGTAAGTGCAGACAACCTTGTTCTCCCTTTTACAGCAGCCTTTTTTTTCTGAGAGCTACAGTGCATTGATAAGCGGAGATTTATACTGGTATTCTCTGTTGCTTGCCTTGGCTAGCAGAGAGCTGCAGCACCTTGCTCCTCGCTTCAGTTTCAGATTCAGATGCTTTCATTGATTACTGCTTCATTGAGGCGAGCCACGAATTCTGTTTCTGCAATGTGTATGTACCAATTCACGGCCTGTATAAATTGTGTATGGAACGCAAAAAATGAGTTGTTCAATTCTTTTTTTCCCCTCTGTTGTGAGATTGTTGAGGATTGAGATTTACTTTTGACGACCTCGTTACACCCTTTGTCTTAAAACATAATGTTTGTAGCGGACATCTTTGCACCTTAACTGCATCATCCTCCTAAGAAAACCATGCTACTGGCCTATTTGGCTGGGAGAGGACTCGGTTTGAAGGATATTCAAAAATAGCGTGTGTGATGGAGAATCCGCTAGAGTATGATTTTTCACCTCCATACGCTAAACAAAGGATGGATGGCCGGATAGAAGCCAGCATGCTCTTACTTCCTGTATGCACAGAGATTTTGTTAAAAAAATGGTTTGGAAATAATACACAATTTGTAACACAACAGAACACTTTTATACCCATGTTTTAAGTTGAATTAATTAGTGCCCAATCAGGCGTGTGCTTGCTGTCGCAGGACAGGGTGTAAGCGACGTTCACAGGGTGTACGAAGAGCCATGTTAGGTTGGGGGGGACCAAGAGGAGCAGAACAGCAGCAAAAATGGGGGAACCGAATTGATTCCAGTTTATCTTTTCTTTTAGGTGTTAGCTAGAACATCGTTATCTAGTTTGAACTCATGCTTTTTGCTCAACTACGTCCAAGTCAAAGTAAGACGACATTATATGAAGGCCATGTTGAGAATTTCTATCTGAGGTCAGGCGGCAAATATTCTCCCTTTGACATAAAGAGTTGGCAAATATTCCAACCGAGTTTTACTAACTGGTTTCAGGATCAGGAATAAGATTGAGTCATAGTTTGTTTGGAAAAAATACGAATTACCCCCCCTCCGAACTATCGTGGTCGTCTGAATTACCCCTCTGAACCACAAAACTAGATATTCTTCACCTCCAGCTATACAAACCGGACGAATTACCCCCTCGACCCAATCCACGGTGTTTTGGTCTACGTGGCATACACGTGGCATCACAGTCAGCGTTTTTTTAATAAAAAATGGTGGGACCTGCATGTCATACTCTTCCACTTTCCCCTCTCTCTCACTCTTCCTCTCTTCTATCTCTCACTCTTCGTCTGTCTTTCTCACGGATCGGCGGTGGCGGGAGACACGGAGGGGCGGGCGGCGGACGGCGGTATCGCAGTGACGGGCGAGCGGAGACGACTGTGGTGGCGGCTGCGGGCACGACGCACGGGGGCGGGCGGCGGACGGTGGCTACGGGCGTGGCACACGGGGGCGGACGGTGGCGTCGCGGTGACGGCCAAGCGGAGGTGACTGCGGCGGCGGCTGCCGACGCTGCTGGGGAGCAGCGGCGGGCGCGGCTGGACGAGTGGAGGCAGCGGCGGCGGTGGGCTCGACTGGGCGCCAACGCCGCCTCGCGCCCCGCCGTGCCCGTGGTGCCCATGGCGCGCGTGCAGCTGGAGCTGCTCCCGGTGGTGCGCGAGGGCGACGGCGCCCGCCGCCCGCAGTGGATTTCCGGCCGCCGGACGCCGCCCGCCTCTCCATCATGCCCCCGCTGCGCCTAGCGCTGGCCACCAACTCGCCGGCCACATCTGAGATAGAGAGAGAGAGATTGAGAGAAAAGTGGGGAAGAGAGAGAGGTGGGAGAGTATGATAGTCGGGTCCTACCATTTTTTTTATTAAAAAAACGCTGACTGGGATGCCACGTGTATGCCACATAGACCAAAACCACCGTGGATTGTGTCGATGGGGGTAATTCGTTCGGTTTGCATAGTTGGGGGTGAAGAATGTCCGGTTTTGTGGTTAATGGGGGTAATTTGGACGACCGCGATAGTTCGGGGGGTAATTCGTACCGTTTCCTAGTTTTTACTTTTTAATAAAAAGGTAAATTAGATCCGTGCAATTGCAAGGGTGCACAATTAGATAAATATTATTATAATTCGTCTATTCGCAGCCATGCCACTGAAATTTTACAAAATTAGGACCATACTACTACCGTCACGTTTTCCATCCACATCTTCTTCCTTTTTTGTCTTCATTCTTCTCTCTTCCCCAAGAATGGTGGCGCCGCCGCACCCACACCTAAACCCGCTGCCGAAGTTGTTGAGTTGTGATCCAAATTCATTTGCACTTAATAAAGGCCAGCTTCTGCCGTAGCGGTGCGAAGGCTGAAGCTGGCCCATTGGGCTGTGCGCCTGGGGACGCCCGGGGGTGCGGGGGCGGAGCCCCCGCGGTACGGATCATCATCCTTTTTAGGTTTCCACTATATATATACCTCTTGTAAGCCGCCGTGCGGCGATGTAACCTCACCTCAGATATAGTGAAGATATTTTGCTGGCTGACGCCCGTGGTTTTTTCTCTCCTGTTTTGGGAGGGTTTTCCACGTTAAATCTCGTGTCTTTTGTGATTGATCTATTGTTCTTTATTGTTTGTTCGCCTATCGTTTGCTAACAGAAGTAGCAGGCATGAAGACAGCGGCAGCCATTCTGTTGGTGGCGGCACTGGTGGCGTCGCACTGCATGGAGATGGCGTAAGCGATCGACACTTGCCATGAACAGATCCTCGTGGCCATCCACTCCACCGTGAACGTGCAAATCAGCGGCGACATCATGGAGCTCACCGCTAGAGCCGCCATGGTCGTGCCCAGTGCGGCAATGCTGATAGCGAGGCTCCACAAGGAGATCCATGCGCCGCCTTCCCCAGTGGCGGCAGCGGCGATACTAGCAGCAGAGAGCCCGAGAAGGACATATCGCCCTTCGTTTCCATCTCAAGAGAGTCACACTCGGCACCGTAACACTACAAATTCTCCTAGCGCTGTCGTGACGGCCACAACCGTCTTCATACATGCTGCTCCGACGACTGGTTCGGGTGCGGTGGCACCACTGTTCCTGAGGAAGAGAGAAGGAAGAAGATGGAAAATGAATGAGATGGATGAAAAATGTGACGTCAGTGGCACGGTCCCAATTTTATAAAATTCCAGTAACACGGCAATAATAGATGAATTGTAATGGCATTTATATAAATAAGCACATTTACCCTTAACAAAATAAAAATGGAAAGCACAACTTATCTCTACTACTATAAAAGTGGGGTCCTCCTTCTACCCCTCCTATCGTTCTTAGCGCGTCCATGCGCTCCGCGTGAGTAACAATCGTATTCAATATTTTATTCTCGGTCACTTTTCTATCCCATCTATAATTATATAGGATTGACATGTTATAGTACGTAATGAGACACTGTCACAGTCATGTTTTTAGTTTCAAATTAAAAAAAAAAAGCTCAAAATAATACGATGCAATAATGTCACCACATTTTAGAAAAAAAAATGCAAGCTTGACCAAGCATGAGTGCATGACTATAGCTTTTATCTATAAAATAAAAAAAGGACTGTAGCTTATTGCGCTTTTATTACAAAGTCAGTTTCTATATAAAATTTGCATAAAAATATTCGATTTAAAGCTGCATACAACAGATGGCAACCGTGACAACCGACAAGGAACCCAACATGCGGTGTGCCTCATGCTAGCAAAAGTTCGTTTTTTTTAAAAAAAAAACTCATGCTAGCAAAAGTTGATGCAACAGAACAAACACGCGTTCAACTCCAACGGTTGTATTACTTGTATGTGAGCTAAACTCAAAATATAGTTGGGCCTGACTACAATGCCATCTCAAGTCAACAAATGATATGAATTTCTTTTTAGAACTCATCATCATTTTAGTGAGAAAAAAAAACAGACCTGGTATTCTGGTGGTTGTACATTATTCGTCACAACCTCTAAGCCTACCAAAATATATATCAGTGTATAATTCGTTACATAGTTTTATATTGATGATGAAAAAGCGTGATTTTTCTTAAAGACAAAGACGGAACGTAGATAAATTTGACCAATTTCTCAACAGATGATCCAAACCATTCTTTTCTTTTAGATTCGGTAACATTACATCCCTACCTTAAAAAAAGGAGAATGTATATTTTCCTTCGGCTAACAAAACAACTACTTCCTCCGTTTCACAATATAAGACTTTCTAACATTACCTATATTCATTTAAATGTTAATGAATCTAAACATATCTATGTGTTAAATGAATTTAGACATATGTATGTGTTTAGATTCATTAACATCTATATGTATGTGGGCAATGCTAGAAAGTCTTGCATTGTGAAACGGAGGGAGTAATTATTCTTTTATTTATAGGCAATATATCCATCACCGACAAGGTACCTATAATGACTCCGTGAATATTAAGATATACACCTAGTCATCAACAACACTATATGTATAGTTACGTGTATTCAATACATGGGTATGAGCATGTGTGTGTATATAAGAGCGTCCCATCTACACTGTGTTTGGATTAAGAAAAGGAAAATGCTACTTCCTCCATTTCACAATTGAAAACTTTTTAGCATTACTTATATTCATATAGATGTTAATAAATCTAGACACATATATGTGTCTATATTCATTAACTTCTAAATGAATATGAGCAATGCTAGAAAGTCTTACAATCTAAAACGGAGGGAGTACGTAACAGTATCTCGTTCAAACGGAATGATGCGTAACGGTATGTGATTCGAACGGGATTACTGTAGCATAAAAAAAAAAGGAAAAAGAAGAAGCATACTTTTCCCTTCCAATTTGTTTTTTTTTTCCTTCGTCACCGTCATCGCACAGTACAATCATTGTCATCTTCCCTGCTCATCCCGAAGCTTCTCTCCTCCTCAGACCTCACCTCCACGTTCTCTCAGGCAAGCGAGCCCCCCCTACCTTGCCTCCGAAGTAACCGCCGCCGCCGCGGCAGCTAGGTCACCGAGCCCGGGCCCACCCTCCCCTCCCCTCCCCCACGCCGGATGATCGCCGCCGGCGCCGCCTCGATGGGCCGCGCCACCGCCACTCCAGCCCACGGGGCCCATTCGCGGTGGCCCCGCGCCGTCGCGCGCCTCCGCCTCGCGTTCCGCTCCCCGGCGCCCGCGGCCAGCGGCGGCGCGCGGTGGATAGGCTGCTTCCGCCCGGCGCCACCGGCGGCGGTGAAGGAGGCGAAGGGGAAGCGGCCGGAGGTGGAGAAGGAGCCTGCGCGGGGCGGAGGGGAGGACGTGTGGAGCGCGCAGGCGGAGGCCGAGGTGGCGCAGGGCGGGGGTTTCCCCGAGCACCTCGTCGTCATGGTCAATGGCCTCGTCGGGAGGTGGTGGATCCGTGTTACTGTTTGTTTTTGGTTCATCGCTTTGCTTGTCAGCTCTGATGCAACCTGCTGGCATTTGGCTTGCAGTCGTAAAATTAGCCTGGTTGTTTTTTTTTTTTTTGCAGCGCGGATGACTGGAAATTCGCGGCGGAGCAGTTCGTGAGGCGGATGCCGGAAAAAGTGATCGTGCACCGTGAGTACCCCCAATCGATCCACAGGCAAATCTATCTCTTGCGGAGTTCAGTTGCTCTCTGAATTGTGGATTGTAAAGCAAAGTAAGATCTTTTCGTTTGTGTGCCTATTCGCATGTCTTGGGGGTGATATCAGGGAAAATTAGAATGTTGGGAAAGTTTTGACCTCTCGGCATAAAAACCGTGTTTTGGTAATCTATATAGCGTAGTCCCACTTTGTGGAAGAAATCGAGTTTTCGTAATCAACATGCTAGAGTGCAGGCTACGCTGAAGAAATATGGTTTGAGCATGCAGGATGGCAACATGAACATGCCATTGAGACCCAGTCATTTAGGAAAAACATATTAACCACTTGTGCCAACTTGCTAATAATTGTCTAGTTGGGCCTGACTAAAATTAATTTTCTAATTGTGTGAGACCGTGGGAGAATCGGTAGTTCACAAATTTTAATCATACTTATACTTAAGTTACTATATGAGAGAGAAACATAATGGTAGATCCACCAACCAGTGTGACCAAATGCATTTGATTCTGTTGAAATATAATTACATCCATGGATTACATAACTTGGAGTGGGGATGAAGTAACAGAACCTGCCAAAAGACCACCATAAAGAACACTAAGGATTTATATGACAAAGGTTGCATTGACCAAGTTAGCGCCATCAGCTAGTTGCAGCCAAATCTTAACAATATACTGCTGTTTGTGTGTGATATCTATCATTTAGAATTTCATTCTTGTTGTTCCAGAATTATCAGTTTACATGACCTGGTTCTAGATAGTTCCATTCAAAGAAACTCTTCAAGCCAATCATCTTGCTCCTCTTTTTTAGATTGTGCAGAGGTAAAAGTCTTTTAGATTTCAGGATGATGGATATGATGATACATCATTTATCATTCCTTCTCTAGTTATGGTTGTTTCAGTCACTATCTTGTTTTCCTGTAATAAGATTTAGATTGCCACTTCGCATGCAGGAAGCCAGTGCAATTCGGCTACACAAACATTTGACGGAGTTGACCTGATGGGTGAAAGGTTGGCAAATGAGGTACCTAATGACTTATTGCTCAAACTAAATTTTGTCCTCTGTACAAACCTTTGTAGTTGTTTGATCGATTTTTTGTGTGCACTTGACTATTTATCTTGTCATTGCATATGCCCTATGGTTCTTGTTGAAGCTATTTATTATAATTTTCTTAGTTTGCATCTGGTAGATGAAATGACGTCTGTTCTAAGCTGATTGATAGAAAAGTAGATATAGTTATTAGGGAAAAAAAGGTGATAAAATGGTGAAGTTGTTACTTTTTAAATCTTATTCTACAGAATTTATAACTATCCTTCAGATGAAAGCGTAAAATCAAAATTGATCTACATTGATCCATGGGAGTTTGTTTTCATAGTTCAAACTTGTAAGTCCTGTGTATTCAGCTACATCATTTCATATTGGAAGCTAACTAAATTATTATAGGTTTTATCAGTTGTAGAACAAAGAAGAGGTGTGAAGAAGATCTCATTTGTGGCACACTCTCTAGGTGGCCTTGTTGCTAGATATGCTATAGGGAGGCTTTATGAACCAAATAACAAAACTAAATCTTCTTCGGAGAAGAGCAGAGATGAAGGTGAGCGCTTGGAGGGTTTCATTGCTGGCTTAGAACCTATGAATTTTATAACCTTTGCCTCACCGCATCTTGGTTCAAGTGGAAATAAACAGGTAAGACTAATATCCTTTATTGTTTATAAACTAGACAGATCAGTTAACCATCTCTTTCTCTTTTTTTAACTTTGCATAACTACCCACTTAAGTTGCCTCTCCAAGAACAGGTTAATTGGTAGCGCCTGTTAATTGCTACTCTTATTTAATTACAATTATTGAAAGTACATATGAGGTTCAAATTTTGAAGTACTTTTGGAGACAAAAAATTCTGGAAATTGTTATTCATCAAGCAACTTCATAAAGATTAATATTATGGATTTTACTTTTGTTGCTTTCAGCTTTCCTATAGATTACTTGCAAATATGTAGGTGCCTTTGTTTAACAACATTTAAATTCTTCAGTAATGTCAGTCTCATATGGTTTCAGTTTTATGAGATGGCATACTTTTGTAGAAAAATATTTCTTAAGTAGTTAATTAGTCCAACAACTCGATAATGACTAATATTTTTGATTTTACTTGTTTTACTTTTTGATTCTCTAGAGTTTGCAAATATGTAATCAGTTAATCACCTTGATTTAACCTGAAGTAGAACAAAACATTTAAATTCTTCAGTAATGTTAGTCTCATGTTCAGATTCTTCCACCAGCTCCCTTTCTTATGTGGCCTGCCTTTCCTGGAAAGAAGAGCTTCGGAAACTGCACATTTGCTTGTTGGGAGAACAGGAAAGCATTTATTCCTTACAGACAATGATGATGGCAGACGCCCACTCCTCCTTCAAATGGTTGATGACTGTGATGATATAAAATTCAGGTTATTTTCTGTATGATTTATGTTGTCTTATGTGTTTAAAATGGTTGGTGAATGTAAATGTACAGAAATGAAGTTCATTTTCTGTATGTTTACCTTCAGTTTCCCAAAGTAGTCCAAAAATGTTTGGGTATCATTTCTGAGCACAATATGTTCTGTTATGCAGATCAGCGTTGCGCTCTTTCAAACGACGTGTGGCATATGCTAATGCAAACTTCGACCGTATCCTTTAACAATTAACTGCTTCGCTGTTTACTCTGAATTTTCTAGCTTCTTACAAGATATGCACTTAACTAAATAAAAAGATATGGTTGGGTGGAGAACGTCATCAATCCGTCGCCAACATGAGCTACCAAAAGTATGTCTTAGAACTATATTCATGCCTAAAGAAACCTATGGAATTATTACATATTTCTTTTCTGTTCTCTTTAAATTGTTGGTTTACCTTTCTTCTGCGGTTCTGCCTCTTCTCAGCATCGACTTCTTGTTCGTGATGAGAAATATCCTCATATTGTCCATGTTGATAAAGGAGCAACGAACAGTAATGAAGCAGAAGCTCGTTCTGATCTTTATGACCCAGAAGGTATATTTTTCTGTTTGTTAGTTACCCCGAACTGTCAAAGTTGATTGTTCATCAATAGATGACAAAAATCCCTTCTATTTGCAGAGGAGATGATTAGAGGCCTTACACAAGTACCGTGGGAACGTGTTGATGTGAGCTTCCAGAAAAGTAGTCAAAGATTGGTTGCGCATAACACCATCCAGGTGTGAACTTATTACTTTTCCAACCTGCAGTATATATTTTGAGCAAAGTCGTCTTCTTTTCTACTGGTGCCTGAAATTTTGAATAGATAATTGCGGAGTGGCATCTTAACTGTGATTATTCTAAGGAAGTTGGGGTATGCAGTAGAATTTAAGATTTTATGTGCTTTTCTGTGAGTTGCATCTAGTGAAGTATTCTATGATAAGATTTCACAAAAAGTACTTTGCATGGAATGACCTACATGCAAGAATGTGAGAAGTTCCTTATTATCCTTCAAACCTTCAATCTGGATGGAATTGACAGCCACATTGTTACATCTTCCACACTATCAAAGTATAAAAATTTGTGGGGGCGTATCTTCTTTGCTGCAAAGATATCTTAAAGTAATGTATTGTAGTGTGTTCCTACAAGCCCATCAGTATTACCAACTCTTTTCTGTCTTGAAGCATCGACATTCTTGTCCACAAGATGCCATCCATTTAACCATGAAAATGCCATGGTCTTTCTCAACTGTTATTTCTCCGTATTGTTGTGAACTGATCCATTATTTTATATTGCAAAAGCGAGAGATGCAGATGCACAACTTCTCAAATCTGACCATACTTTTCTGTACTCTGACTGCTGTTCCAGGTGAAGAGCTATTGGCTAAACTCAGACGGCGCGGACGTTATCAATCACATGATGGATAATTTTATCGTCTAGTCCCTGAACTCTACGTGCTGCACTGTACCAATATTCAGAGAATTTTAGCGATTGGCAATTCAATTTTGCTTAGGTATTTTTTTTCCCTTGTAGGTTACAGTTCTCATAGATAATGTGATTCAATTATTTAGGTTTCACTCTAAATGTTTCTGATCCCCATTCTTCCCCATTAACTTAGTTATCACATCCAAAGTGTATCATAACTTGTACCCTCTACTGTATCAGAGTACAATGAAGCTAATAGATATTTCCTGTTGAATTGTATTTATATGTGCAAACTATTACAATAATCAAACTTATGTATTGGAGACTGTGATTCGGCTAAAAGGATAAGTGAAAAAAAGATCATCTTTGCTCCCTCTTATTTATCCCAAAATAAGATCATCTTTTTAACAATCATTACATTAGAGTTGATGAAATTAGAGAACAAATACATTAGAACTAAAAGTGGGAAGCAATGCATTGGGATTTAATAAAATGTGGATTTTTCAATCTTTTTTTCTATTGGTATGTATGGGACGAGTGAAAAAGTTATTTTGGGATGGAGGTAGTATTCAACAACCTTCTTGTGTTAAATCCGAACCATTAAGAACTTGAGATGCCGATTCTCACTAATCTTGGATAAATTGGCACATTTTGAGTAATTTCCAGTAAATTGAACGAATTCGAGATGACGATTAATTGACACATTTTGAGTTATTTTCGATAAATTGAAGTCAGCTCTAGATAATCAAAACTTATCAAGATTGTAAACCATGCTTGGCACAGCTCCAGCAGAGCTGGAGTTACTGCTTCATAATTTCACTTCAGAACCAACTCAGAGTTAAATTTAGGAGTTAGGCACTACCAAACAAGCCCTACTCATTACTGTACTTAGGAGACGACTCTCGGTTGGGCGCCCGATCGGGAGGGGGTAAAATCGGGCTGACGTTAGCGCCGATTTATGTACAAAAATTACTTTAAACTGATTTTTCTCTTAAATTACTTATCCAAATCATGATCCGATTGTACCATTAAATTTATTGCAATTAAATCTTTAAAACAAGACCACACATGGATATATTCCGACGAAAAAAAAATTAGCTTATTATTGAATTTTTTTAAATGTTGCACGATGTTCCACCAGGTATATCGGAATTGTTTCACTAAGTAGATCGAAAATGTTTCACTCGTTTAAATCGGGCGTTGTTTCACCTTATATGAAAACAATGTTTCAGCAAATAGCGAAAGAATGTTTCAGTTCGCTGCAACATTATATCTATACATAGTAAAACACTGTGAGTACTCTAGGTGAAACATTTTTCGGTGGAACAAAAAATAAAAAAAATTCCCTTATTAGGGGATTTCCAAAATATATGGGTGTTTTTTTGTTGCAATGGAGTATTTCAGTTCACTGCAACATTAGATCTATACATAGTGAAACATTGTGAATGTACTAGATGAAACATTTTTGGTGGAAAAAAATAAACCAAATTATCTTAATAGATGGTTTCAAAAATATGTAGGTTTTTTATTGCAATAGAGTTATTTGTGTGTGAATACGTGGTGGGCCAGCTGGAGGGCAGGCATGCGCGCGGGGGGGAGGGGGGGGGGGGAGCGTAATCATTATCGTACTTCTAATTTTCTCTTTCAAGAATATGATGTGTCAATTTCCTCAGGACCTATCCTGAACTCGCGTAGCGATGGCTTCTTCCCAAACTGCCCGGCCCATCTGGCCCGCGCTAAGCCCAAATCATTTCCAGACAACCCCAAAAAATCCAGCACCTTCTCGCACCGCCGCCGCCGTTCACCGGAGTCTCCCTAACTAACTAAACCCAAACCCCGAACTCGCCACCGCCTGTCCGCCTCCAGAGTCCCAACCGCCGCCCTCGCCGTCGTCTCGTCTCGTCTCGCCCGCCTCCATGGCGACCTCCGCCTCCGCCTCCACCTCCAGCCCCTTCCCGTTCCCCGCCCGCCGCCCGCCGGACGACACCCTCTTCTACGCCGTCTACTCGCTCCCCCTCCCCACCGCCCTCCCGCCGCCGGACCTCCACGCCGCGCTCCGGTCCCTCCACCTCTCCCTCTCCTCCCACCTCGCCCCCTTCCTCGCCTCCCACCTCTTCCACCGCGACGCCTTCGCGCTCACCATCCCGCCGCCCGACCACACCGCTGCCACCTCCCCCTGCGCGCTCTGCGCCTCCCCCCCCGTCCCGCACCTCCACGGCGCGCTCCGCTTCGGCGACTCCCTCGCCGACGAGTGGCTCGGTGTCTCCCTCCTCTTCGAGCTCACCCGCGCGTTCCCGAGCCTCGCCGTGCGCGCGTGGGACTCCGACGGGGAGTTCCTCCTCATCGAGGCCGCCTTCGCGCTCCCGCGGTGGCTCGACCCGGACACCGCCCCGAACCGCGTCTTCATCTTCCGCGGCGAGCTCCACATCCTGCCGCCGTCGCTCTTCCCCGGGACGCCCTCCCTCGACGCCGCGCTCGCCGCCGTCCATGATGACGCCGTCGACACCCGCGCCCCCGACGCCGTCCAGGCCGCCATACAGCGCCGCATCGCCGGGCTGCCTGAGAAGGCCTCGGAGAACCTCCACACCGTGCGCGTCATTGTCCCGGTGCCCGTGGCGAAGGTGCTGAAGGAGGAGCCTTGCTTGATCGCCCGCGCCGTCGAGGGGTTCTATGACCGGGACATAGACACCATGAAACACGCGGCGAGGATAGAGAAATTCCTCAGGGGACCTGGCGGAGAGGGGGTTGAGATGGTGAGGACATCGGTGCGCATGACGCGGGCAATGTACGCGCAGCTCGTGCAGCAGAACTTTCAGGCACCGAGGGGTTACCCCATGCCGAGGAGGGAGGAGGGGCCGGAGAAGTGGATGGAGGCAGAGTTGGGGATGAAAATTGCTTGTGGGTTTGAGATGATGTATCAGGAGAGGCGGCGGGAGGGGGAGGAAGGGAAGGGGAGCACATGGGAGGTTTACAGGAAGAGCTTGGAGGCGACAGGGTGCTTCAATGGTCTGCTTCCTGGGTCAAAAGAGTACAAGAGGGTTATGGAGGATGCAATGCAGTATTACAAAAGCTCGAGTTTGTTTTCACGAACAAGGTAATTTTGGTATATCTTTTTTAATCTTGTGAAATTAGTTCTCTAGTACTAGTAAATTGTCATGTGCGAGCATAGTTGGCAACCAGTTCAAACAGAATTAATTTGCTTTCAGTTCTCAACTTTCAAACTTGAAAAAACCATGTATAATTGATGCCTTGATGGTCAGTTGTTAATTTCTGTGAGGTACAATGTTACAATCAACAATTTAACCTGCTCACCATTAGGGATGATTGTTCAATTCTATCAGTAGTCAGTAACCATGTCCATGTGAAATGTTAGTTCTAGGAGTGTTCTAATAATGCCATGTGAAATTAGCTGTCTAGTAGTAAATTGTCATGTTAGAGCATAGTTTGCAACCATTTCAAACACTAGCTGAATGTCCGCGTGTTGCAACGGAAATTTTAAAAAGAATATCTTATTATACACATTTTAGAAGCCCCAAACAAATTATCTCTATCCTTTTTCTCTAATCATCTAAGCTGCTTTTGCCCACTTTCATATGGGAATTTGGAAGGCACATACACCCTGACAACAAGGACCCCCACTTGTCAAGGGGTTAGTGGTGGTGGGTGGCAGACTCACCACTCACTACCACCATTGTAGTCTTTTAAAATTGTATAGATATAAATATAGATGTATAGATAAATAATTTGCTTTCAGTTCTCAACTTTCAAACTTGCCTTGATGATCAGTTGTTAATTTCTGTGTGAAGTACAATGTTAAAATCAACAATTTAACTTGCTCTCAATTCTTTCAGTAGTCAGTAACTATGTCATGTGAAATGTTAATTCTAGGAGTGTTCTAATAATGTTTGTGGTATGCTAGGGAGATACTAAGTGCTCCTGTGCGTCGAATTGATGAAATCCTTGCCATGCCATACTCGGCTGAGGAATTTGAAGGCAGTGACCTTCCTCCGAGCGACGATGACTCTTGGTTGTATAATGGGGAGGATGAGTTAGCTGCGGAACTCTGTGCAAGGCAGCAGGAAATGGAAGAGTATGAAACTGCAAAACAATACAGAAAAAGTCAAAGGAAAAATGTCTCAGGCAGTTCTAGCTCGCAGTCAAACGAGTTTAATCTTGGAGAGATTACAGAGTCCATGCAAGAATTTGTTCGCAAAATGTCAAGCTTTGAGGGAGCTGAAGTTCCTGCAAACAGGTTTTCTTCTAGACTTATTTAATACCTCTGTTTCATGTGCAGTTTTTCTTCTATTCTGTTAAATCGAGGATTGTCTACATCAGTGATTCAGTTTTAATTGTCCGTTGGTCTTGTTCTTAGATAATTTAACATAAGTGACACATTTTTTTCTAATATTTTCCATTATGGATAATTTTCCTTTTGCACTTCAATTTGAACACAAGTCGAAAAAGTCTAAACCACCATCAGAGTAAGGATAGGTATGTGATGAAGTCTGCTTAACATGAAGTGTTCACGTTCATTTGTCAACAATCAAGATGCACTAATATAACTTATCAAGTCCTATAATCATGAATCTAAACTGGCTATACCATGTAATGGTGTATGATACCTGGAAAGTGGAAGCCTAAAACTTCTGTAATTCTCTTACTCCAATTTTAGTGCACCTTTATAACTTAGATTTTGTCCTTGTTCAACTGATTGAGTGAATTACCTTATTGCTATTTGTATCTGAATTTTTTTCCCTGTTTGGAACCTCCTTCACGTTTTTGTATGCTGGTTGTATTGGATGCATTTCTTATATACAAATTTTCAGAGCTTGCACCTGAGGATTGACATTTGACTTTATCACACAATGTTAGCCTAGGATCTGCCTGTGCTAACAGTAACCCGCATTTTGTGGTCCATCTCTAGTTTAAACAGTTGCAGCTTTCCATCTTGGGTTTTGTATAGCATGTTTCTTATGGAATCTCAGTTACCTGAGCATTTTAGTAAAGGAAAAAATAGAAGGAAAAAATACATACTCGAACATTGGCTACTTCAGGGATGGCAATAGGACTTTGTTGTGTAAAAGAATTCCGCACAATAACACTTTATGTGACTATCTTGTGATACACCTGAGACATGTCCTACTGAGATGTCTGCATCTTTGAATACTCATCAAGTCATTTTTGTTCATGTAGGAAAGACATGGAATCAGTGGATCTGGATGTCAACCAGTTCTTCAAGGCCATGGAATCTGTGCTAGGTCGTTCAAAAGATGAACCTGGCAATGAAGCCGGGTTTGATGGAAAATCTTCATCATCTGACATAGACCTTGGTATTTCTTTTCTTCATGTCATGCAAATGCTATTTCATTTTACTGCAGTTTTCTGCTAGGTGCTAACTCACATGGTCAGCTATTTAGTATTGGTTCGCCCGATACTACCTCATGAACAAAGTGTACTTTTTTTGTTCATCTTTCTTGGGGGTTTGTTTTTTGGGCCGTGAGCTGTGAGTTCATATGATTCAAGGAGTATGACTGATTTCAAGAACTGAAGCAATAGATATTAACATCATTATTTTCCTTTATTTTCTTGGTTGGGGTTTCCTGGTTGGAGATCATTATGAGGCGCATTGAAATCTTCTGCTTCTTCATTGCACATTTCGTACCAAATACTCTGGTCAAATCGATCTCATTCTAATCCTATGTCTTTTTGCTCGACTATATGGCTGGTAACTGGACAAATGTTTATGCCCTTAACTGTGTGTAAAGGGTGATGTAGTAATCTGTGGTCTGTTTGGCATGGGTGGAGCCTCTTTGAGATGCAGTAGTATGAATAGTTCTCTTGAAACATCAATATACATAAATTCACAAATTCCTTCACCGTATTAGCCAGTCATTTCGTATTCTGGTTTGGTGTGAACTGGATCTTACTAATTAAGAATGCTTTTGACTGTGCAGAAGACGATTCTGATTATGGGAGTGATTTCGGCGAAGAATCTGGTGAGAAGGGTATGGATAATGCTTTCATGGAATCATATTCTGATGCACTGAATAAAGAACTCAGTATGACCACTATAGAGAAAAGTTTCGCTCGTGCACCGCACCCTGATACCAGCAATGAGGTAATTCTGTCCCATTCTATCTCATGATTATGTTTAGCACAGATCGCTTGTGTACTTCTCAAACTATGAATATGAATATTGTTGTGATTCCTGAAATTTCATAGTAAGTTAAGAAAACATACTTGGAAGTGCATGGAATGCACATACTCTTTTGGTTTAAAATCACAGTCATGGATGATTGTTTATTACTTCCTGAAACTCTATTAATATTGAAGCAGTAATGACCCACAATCTTCATTTTTTATTTCCTTGTGGGTAGTAAAAACATGTAAACTTGCTACTGGCAATAAATCAGTTCACATGAGTTAATGAGTAGTTATGGTCAATTAGTTGTCCAAACTGAAGTCTATCAGTAATCTTTCTTCCATTGTAAACAAGTTGGGATAATGGGTTTTGTATCAGATTCCTGAAAGAAACTTGGTTACGATTTTTCGTAGCACACTTGTTCAATTTGACTGATCCTACTCTAAGAAAATTTTGGTATATTTTGATTTCAGGGTCCATCAGGTGCTGCAGATACTGATGGGGAGATGACCCCAGTTGATGTGGACCTGAACCTTGTTGAGAGCTTCCTTAACTCTTACTCCTCTCAACAGGGTCTCCCAGGCCCAGCTTCCAATCTGCTGGGACTTATGGGTGTAAAAGTACCTCCTGATGGTAAAAAGCCGTGATCTTTTTGTTTGTACCCATGCACATCAAATTTCTGGAACCATAGCAAGAACATACATATGATATTTATTGCAAAACATAGGAGATCATGGTCCAAGTAGTTTTCTTGTATGTTCAAACCTCAAAGAAAGGAACTGGAAGTAGGACTTGTGACTTTGTGAGAGCTCAAGCGGCCAGCTTGGTCTCTCAACCGGCATCATTTGGATAAGTAAAATTTTGGCCTGACAAGCATGTTCCGTTCCTGTATTCCCTGTACTGCTCCGGTATCATTGGAAGACGTAGGGCTCACTCAACACAGGCCATGGGTGTGGGACAACTATGTACTATGAGTCTATGAGACAACTATAGTCAAAGCAGCTAGCATTTATATGTGGTAGTAGCTAATACTGTTGTATTATGCAATTCTGTAACATGTCTTTTGAGATCTGACATGTATAGCAAGCAGTTGTTTATGCAGTTCTTGGAGTAGCATATTTGTTCTGAGGCATGAACAAACTTCAGCTACCTAACATAAACTGTTCTGTACTCGTACCTACTCGTGCTGTTTGTCCAGTACAGATCTGGAGTGTGTTGATCTCACATTGCAGACGGTGCATTCATCTCACACGGTGGAAAATACAGCTATCAAACAAGCAAGTTTAACCTCATGGGGGAAAAAATTAATCATCTCACCGTAGAACTATGGGCCTGTTTGGAGAGCTTAAGATTCTGATAAGCAGCTGGTTGGTAGCTAGTTTTTGAGAATCTGGAAAAGTTGGGTTTTTCAGCTTCTAGCTTCTAGTTCATTTTCTGAATTCTACAATTACCACTTCTCAGAATCTGGACTAGAAGCTAGACTGTTTGCGGGAGTTTCTGATTCTGGAAGAAGCTGCAGCAGCTAGAAGCTTCCCAAACAGGCCCTGTAACTAGAAGCTAGAAGTAACAGGTACATATCGGTCAGCGAAAGGCATCCTTTCACGCATTAGAAAACAACATTTTTGCACTTACTCGAGGAACAAGTCAATTACACGTGCAAAAAACTGCCAGAGCTTTGGACTAGGAGTAGTGTTCAATGCACAAAATCTTTCTGAAATGATCTCGTCAGACAAAGGAGAAGGGAAACAGCTTCAGCTAGCTCCCTGCCTCTTGGACGTGTCAAAAGGATGCAGCCCATCCCAATTTTCTGCAGCAGCCGGAACCAGAGTGACATCTTGCTTCGTTATCAATTAAATAAAAACCACTTTTTTTAACCGTAAGTCCAACATGGCAGCTATGGAAAGCTGAAAGCTCCATGGAAATCAGGGCATCTCAAGTCAAGAAAATTACGAGTCACCTTCTCCAGTACTACCAGTCCGTGTATACGTCCTCATCAGATCAGATATTCGCACTGATTCCTGTCGTCATGTACGCGGCCACAGGCAAGTGCATTTCCCTTGGACAAACAATTGACATTTGACAGCGCTTCAACTCTTTTTTTTTCTTTAAATAAAAACCACAAACTTAATGCTCATAAGACTTGTATACTCAACCCTATAAACTCACAAATAGACATCCTACCATATAAACAAATCTCAGAAGATTAGGTTGATATATCTTATCTCGTTGTTGATATACCTACGAGCACCTCGGAAGACTGGGTTGAGGCACCTCATAAGATTGGGTAAGGGCACCTCAGAAGACTGGGTTGGTATATCCTGTCTCGTTGTTGACGTATCTACGAGCACCTCAGAAGACTGTTATATCTTGGCTCTGTCAATGTACCTATGAGCACATCGGAAGACTGGGTTGGTATATTTTGTCTCGTTATCGACGGGTACGTCATCTATCACTGAAAGAACAATTAGCCGTATATGCGAGCACCCATATCAAGTCTATTACTTTAACCCGTGTGGCTATTACTTTAACCCGGGTGGATTGATTCCACTAAAAAAACTTAACCGGTTAAGTTACACTTACTTCGCTACAACGCTTCAGCTCTTTGATTTAACTGTAGAAACAACGTCTGGGTGGATATGTAAAGCAAACCGAACCCCATTCAATCTATCTAGTTTATTTTTTTAATCACTCTTACCAACTTTACTTTCTTTGTGGATATAATTGGAACCGTTTAATTGAACTTCGGCTCCAAGAGAAACGAAACCAGAGTTGGAGCACTGTCAAACATGTTCTACATATATAATTAGACAAGAGTACCGTACATACCAAAACAACGTATAGGACTAGATTAGTCAGGAATGATGTATGCTCCTTTGTACTCATTGCGTATTATACACACCACCAAACCAAACTAATCAATCAAATGATCCATTCATCCATCATCCTTTGCCCTAAAAAACAAACTTAGAAGAGAATATCCATTTTGTAACTTTCTTTGCATCCTATCATATCCATCGTCCGTGCTGGTGAATGGTGATGCCTCCCAAGTGCCGTTGTTGGATGGGGTTACGTCAACCTCACAGGTGAATCTGACAATACAATATTACCTTTTGTATATGTATATTCAGTATATTTACTAAACTGCAAAAGCTGACTTTGCAACTCCTACACTGATATATATCTTAGATATCTATAGGAGTATTCTTTACCCTTATATGAGTACTAACCATGATTAAAGAAATTAATTAGTAACCCAACTACGGAGCAGGGAAGAATATATTTTCAAAAACTAATGAACTGTTCTAGGGATTAAGTTTGATGGCGAGCATGCTGAGTTGCCAAATCCGTATGAATAGATTTAGATCAGTTAAATAGCTCAATTAATACTTTAATAAAGTGTTTAGAGTAGCCTTAAAAAATAACAGTTAGATGTAGACATACTACACTACTACCACTAGTAGTAGAAGGCAGAAGGTCCTAGGCATCAACCTCCTTCGAAAGTTCAAATTACGGCGGTAGACCACCTACATCAGTATGGCCACCTGTGGAACATGATACAAACGAGTGCGCCTCACTGACTGAACAAAGGGACTCCATTACCTAGAAGCCAACGACTAGTGGAATCTACTCGGCCAAATCCGCATATAGATTACAATTCATCGGTGCAACAAGAACTATATACATTAGAGCATCTGGAAATGTTGAGCCCCACCTAAATACAAGTTCTTCTCTTGGCTAATAGTTCAAAACAGAGTTTGGATAGCAGATCGACTACAAAAGAGGGGGTGGGCAAACCAGCTCCTCTATCCTCTTTGCCGCACTTCGGCTGATTCAGCTTTACACCTTCTAGCAAAGTGTAGACCATCCAAAAGCATCTGGGTGGAGGTGCAAAGATGGGAAAAAACATATCTCAAACTGTAATAATGGGAGGATTGCACATCGATGGAGGACTTGTGATACAAAATTACGCATGCGGCCCACAGCCCGAAGAAAGCCTTGAAATCAGCTTTGGTCGTGTTTAGTTCCATTTCTAATATACGGACACATATTTGAAGTATTAAACGTAAACTAATAACACAACAAATTACAGGTTTTGCCTGTAAACTGCGAGACGAATCTATTAAGCCTAATTAATCCGTCATTAGCAAATATTTACTATAGCACTATATTGCCAAATCATGACATAATTAGGCTCAAAAGATTCGTCTCGCAATTTACATGCAAACTGTGCAATTAATTTTTTTTCCATATTTAATGCTCCATACATATGTCCAAACATTTGATGTGACGGAAAAGTTGGAAGTTTGAAGGGAACTAAACACAGCTTTTGCTAGTTTTACTCTTTCTCTATTCTCTATCAATATACAAAGTGGTAAAGCTTTTGCCCCTCCTTAAAAACAAAATAGGACTGTAAAAACCAAAAGAAAAAAAGTACGAATTACCCCCCCGAACTATCGCGGTTGTCCGAATTACCCCCCCCCCCCCCGAACCACAAAACCGGACATTCTTCACCCCCAACTATGAATACCGGACGAATTACCCCCCCTCGACCCAATCCACGGTGGTTTTGGTCTACGTGGCGTACACGTGGCAGTCTAGTCAGCATTCTCTTTATAAAATAATTGTGGGACCCACCTATCATACACTACTCTCTCTTCTCTCTCTCACTCTCTCTCTCTTCTCTCTCTCACTCAAGAGGCGCGGCTTCCCCCCCTCCCGTCACCCACGAGGTGCGGCTTCCCCCCTCCCTCGGCTGCGGCGGGGGATGAGGAGCTCGCCGCCGCTCGTGCCTGCCTCTGCGCCACCTTGCCCCGCCTCCTCCGCCACCGGGAGAAGAGAGAGAGAGAGTGTGTGTGTGAGAGAGAGAGAGAGAGATGACGACCGCGTGATGACGACCCAGCCGCCGACCAGCCGCCGGAGAGGGAGGCCGACGCCGACGCCGACGCCGACGAGCGGCGCCTCCGCCGGAAGATCTTCAACCGGGAGTCCGCGCGCCGGTCCCACGCGCGCAAGCAGCGGCACCTCGACGAGCTCCGCGCGCACGCAGGGCAGGGGCGGGGGTAGGGGCGGAGGCGGCTGGGGGCGGCGGGCGCCGAGTCCGGGGCTGGCGGGCGCAGAGGAGAGGCCGGAGACGGGCGCCAAGGCCGCGGCTGGCGGGCGCGGAGGCGAGGCCGGCGGCGGGCGCCGAGGCCTCGGATGGCGGGTGCGGAGACGAGGCTGGCGGTGGGCGCGGAGGCAAGGCCAGCTACAGGACACCCGGTTCGGCTCCTCCGCCACCGGTCGCCCGGTAGCGCGGGCAAGCTCCGCCTCAACAGTCGGACGCTCGGGTGAGCTCCACCTCTGCCGCCGGCCGTCGAGCGCATGTGCTGCCTCCTCGGCAGTCGACCGTCCGAGCGCGTGAGCGTGAGAGAGAGAGAGCGTCCGTTGCCGCTACCACTCCTACCGCCATCGCCAACTGCCACCGCCGTCGTCAACTCGGTTCGGAGAGAGATAGAGCTCAACACCTTCTCCACCTCAACACCTCTTGGATCTTGGAGGTGGAGGGATCGATGAGCGCGCTGCGGGCGGCTCAACCTCTCCGAGCTCGGGGACAGGCAGTGGCTCGTCGTCGTCACCCTCATCCCCCCCCGCCGCCGCCTACCGCCGTGCGCGTGAGAGAGACTAAGAGAGTGAGGATGAGTGAGAGAGAGAGTGAGTGAGAGAGAGGGGGGAATAGTGGAATATGAGTATGACAGGTGGGTCCCATAATTTTTTTATAAAGAGAATGCTGACTGGACTGCAACGTGTACGGCACGTAGATCAAAACCACCGCGGATTAGGTCGAGGGAGGTAATTCGTTCAGTATTCATAGTTGGGGGTGAAGAATATCCGGTTTTGTGGTTCGGGGGGGGGGGCAATTCGGACGACCGTGATAGTTCCGGGGGAGGGGGGTTATTCGTACTTTTTCCAAACTGAAAACCGGGGTACACTATTCAGATCTCCCCTGTCGTTTTTCCTCCCGGCTGCTCCTGCACCTGCACCTGCACGGACGGAACCACGTTTCCGCATGCGCACCGACGACTTTTCGCCGCATGAAAACCCCTTCTCAGGCTCCCAGGCAATGGGAGAAATCGCCTCCCAACAATAGGAGGAAAGCAACAACCACCTGACCCAAGCCCCCAGTCCAGGTAGGAGGAGTCCACTACACAGTAGTAGTACACACTAATAGCTGCTTGCTCGGGCCG